ACCCGCTCGTGTAGTCTTGGACGGAACCGAGTTGGCGCCAAGTGCGGAGCCTCTGTCGCGCCGCGATCGAAGCCGCAATTGGCTCGAAACGAGCGCGCAGACCTGCGCACCATGCATCCCACATGCGATACTGGGGCACCTCCACGAAATACGACGGCGCCCAGGGTCCGGTTTGTCCTTCCCGTGTTGGTAGAGTCGCGTAGTCCACCGGCTTCGTGACAATGACACGCCACCAGTCCATGGCGGGTCCTCGCAGCAACGACACGGCGTAACGAATCTTCGCTGTATCCTCCGAGACGTAGTTCGCGTCGAAGAAGACGTTGAACGTGAAAAGCCACGCCTGAACGGTAGGACCACCCCGCTGACTTGGGTCAAACATGTCGGACGCTGCGGCTTCAGCGGCATTGGCGACGGTAAGGTTGATTCGCCGGCCGGCACCAAAATAGTGACTCGAGGCTGATTCCTGGCCGCATTCGTCGCGTCGGGGTGTGTCGTGCCGTGGTCGTCGTCTCCGTCATGGCGGACGACGCCATCACTTGCGGCGCTCGCGGGTTGCCCCACACTTCCGTGTTGCGATGTCTGTGGTGCGGGCTGAATCGGATTGCCAGGTGCTTGGGATTGTGCTCGTGCGAGGTCATTTTGCAGAGACGTGCGTTCTGCCGTCAACGCCGCGATTTCTTCAGAGCTTTCGCGAATTTGCCGCAGCAGTTCGTTCAAGTGCTCCTGCGTAAGAGTCGCGACATCGATATGCTCAGCCATTACGAGGGACGTGGGCTCGGCTTAGTCTAAGCGCAGTCGTGGCTGCACGCGTTTGCGTGAGAACGCGAGGACAACGGCTCCTAGGGGCTAAGGTGCGTGAGTCCCTTCGAGTGGAAAATCAAAAGTTGATTTCCTGGGGTGCGGAGATGCGCAGTTTGAAAAGAAAGAGGCTCTGAATACCAAGTGTTACGGGTGCAATGATCGAAGTAGCGAGAATTGCACTAAGGTGTCAAACGAGTACAAAATGTGAGCGAAGGCATGAGCGAACATTTATACGCGAAACACGCAAATGGTAACGCGGTGCGTGCGAGCTAGCTAGTGCTATGTTGGAAGCGAGGTTCGGGCTAGTCCCGAAGCGTAGGCCGATACGGCCAGGCTAGCAGTGCGAGGTTTGGTGAAACAGTGCGCGCGAAGTCGGCGAAGCCCTGTTAGCAGTAACGGCCGAACAACGGCTGCTGCTGTACGCGATGTTGTAGGGTGCTCTAAGGAATATCGAGAAGATTCATTACACTCACCCTCCCCCTCCTCTGTCTCACCCTTCGGCCCCCTTAGGGCGTGTAAAATCCCCGCAAGTTTGCGAAATCTGCTATTGGCCGGTTTTACGTCGACCATCTGGGTCGACATTTCTTTCTCGAAAGTCGACGGATTGGTCGACTTCGTGTCGTCACATTTACTGCCACTATTTGCAGATTTGCAAACTTTACAGGTTTGAGGGCCGAATTTCAGGCCGGTTTCAAAAAGCTGTAAATTTGCAGTTGCTACATTATGAACGTATGTGCGACTGGGTCGCACATTTGACGGCGACAACTCTGATTGAGCAGGATAAAATCTTTCGGTCGTTCTACGAGACCGTGCGACGTCGTATATGACAGTCGTTCACGGTGTCGACCAGGGCTGTTGATTCAAGGGCATTTGCCCTTAATGCCCTGAACATTCCGGGTTATGTTCAGCGCAGCTCGACCATTTTAAGGGTTTGATTCGACTGGCACCCGTGCCAGTTTAGGGCATCGTTTAGCCCTCCCGGACGCGTTAAGTGCTCAATCTGGGCCATCCCCTGAATCTAAGATATACTTTCGGTTCCGCAGAACCCCCCCCCAAAATCTTGCGGAACACCCCCCTCCCCTAACCCCCCCCCCCCCCCCCCCCCCCCTTTCCACAAAAGTTGCACAATAGAGCGCTAGGTGGAGGATGTTTCACTCGATTTCTATCCAATCTAGTGTGTGTCTAGTGTCGAAGTCAGCAGATGAGTAGAAATGCAGTAGGTAGTGCAGCTGTAGTTGTAGTTGGAAGTTGTGACATACGGGTTGACTGGAGTAGTTAGCAGTGAGAGTATGTGATTTTCTTGTCTAGGATGTTGTTTAGGTTAGTTAAGTACACAACACTTTGGAGCCCAGATTTCAAGTTTACACTTCGGCCTGCACCCGTGACTGTTAAGGGCAAAAATTTGGTCACCTCCCTGAAAATCAGGGTCAGAATTTCAGCAGCTGAGGGCCTCAAGTTCTGCCCCCAGGGATATCGACAGCCCTGGTGTCGACTACTTGGCCGAATTGGAGTCGACATGGTGTCGGATACGAGTCGACTTTCAAAACGGCCATCAATTTCGCTTTTTCTTGGCGAAATTGACGACGGTCGCGAGCGTCTTCGAAGTTTTCTCAAACGGGTTACTTTCGCCAATTCGGCCACTTGGCTAGTGGCCGAATTTTTAGGTGTGGCGATTTTATACGCCCTCAGACATTCGAGCAGAGCCATCTCTGTCGGCTGCAAGGTTCTTCCTTGGTAACCTTGGTCTGTCGGTGTCCCCTCGTGTCCAACCAAACCAGAAACATCGCGACGTGAGTGCTGCCTTCGAGACTCTGCTAGCACGGTAGCGCCAAGCATGGTCAGCGGCATCTCTCATAGAACGCGCGTATCATGCGCCATCATCGGGAGCTTCGTCGAGGGACCCCCAACCCTAACCCGAACAGCGCAGGTTTTCAGTCTGAACGTGAGGAAATCGTGGAGCGGCATGAGTCGAACACTGGCCACAGGTACTCGCACTGCTCCGCACATGTCACAGCGAGAAAAGCTCCGCCAGTAGTAGCAATGGGGAAGGGGGAAGCGGCCCTGCGAGCTTCCGGTTTGCTGTGTTGCGGCAGTCGGGTGATAAGTGAATGCAGGCGGAGGAAAGGCGGGTGCACTGATCTTTTCAGCACACTCGCTCAAATGTCGGCGCAAGATTCATTCATCGGCCCACGCCTTTCCCAGGCGAGTTTGAGGCGGCTCAAAGCGGCAGACGTTGACTCATGGGAATCGAGCTTCCTCCCAGAGCGTCCCAGCTTCTCTCCGCATTTGAGCCGTTCCAAACGGCAGCAGCAAATGCGGAAGGAAGGCGCATGAGTCGCGAGGCACACTCCCCCTCAGTCGACTCAAAACAACACACAGCGGAATAATCGCACTTTATCAATGAAAGAAGCTTATCAAATTCCTTCACTCGCCGTCGTTCCCCCCACCGACCGTTGTTTCTAGTCCGCGCACACACCCTTGCCGGACCCGCAGGTTAAAGCAGCGTTCCCTGCAGTACCGCAGGGTGCCGCAGTTGAACAATCCATACTGTTTCGTCGGATGCTGAAGATTTTAAGAGCTTCTAGATGGATGGCGGAGCGCGGTTTAGTGATTCTTAGGTCACGGCGGTGCGGGTGGTGCGTGCTGATGCTATTGCTGCTCCTCGTTGCAAGCCGTTATGGTGACAGCGGCGCGGTCGGGGTGCGCGCGGCCAGATTGGGAGAGGCGCGGCGGAGGCGGGCGGATCGGCTCCTGCAGGCGCAAGTGAGATCCCTTTGATTAGTAGAGTCGACTTAGTACGAGAAGTGATGAGTCAATTACTGAGGCGCCTCAATCATTGTGGGGGCGGATCGGCTGCTGCAGGCTCAAGTGAGAGCCCCGAGTCATGAACGTGACCAATGAACCCATGATGGGTCACTGTGGAGTTTTGAGGCGCATTAGTAGAACTTGAAGGGCCTCAAAACCTGCTGCGGGCTCAAGCAAGAGCCCTTATGAAAGTGAACCATGATGTGTCACTTCACAATCTTGAGGTGTCTACTTTAGGTGCCTTAGAAATTGAGCAGCCTCAAAAGTTTCTGCAGGCTCAAACGAGAGCCCTACGAGTCTTGAAGTGCCTCGAAGCTTCACAGAGACTAAATCGCTCTTAAACACCGGGCATTCTAGAAGTTGAGGCGCTTCACACCTCGAGGTGCCTCAAAAGCTGCTGCAGGCTCAACTCAAGTGTGAAAACCCCTCATGGGCCACTATAGAGGTTTGAGGTGCCTCTGAGTCTGAGGCGCCTCGGAACTTGACTCGCCTCAACCCTTACGGCGCCTCAAAGCATGCTCCAGGCTCACGTTTTGGCCCTTGATGCGTCGCCCAGCCCAAGGGACTCACGAGGAGAAGTGTCAGCTCGCGTGAGGTTTGGTCGAAGAGTGCAGCTGTGGCGTCACGGAAGTGGTAAGGTCTGAGAGGCATACGTGCAGTGATCCGCGTTGAGTTTTGAGTCGACTAAAGAGTAAAAGTCAGCTCGTCAGGCTGGTGGTGTGGTGTTAGTAGCAACACGTGAGGCATGCATGCAATGATCCTCCCGGAGGTGACAAACGGGACACGTTCCGTCCCATTCGGTCCCATTCGGTCCAATTCGGTCCCATTCGGTCCCATTCGGTCCCATTTGGTCCCATTCCGTCCCATTCGGTCCCATTCCGTCCCACTCGGTCCCACTCGGTCCCATTCCGTCCTATTTCATAGTTATCCTGAATGAGTGGTTCTGGAGGCGAGATCCTGACACTAGTATGGTATGGGCCAGGGGTTCGATTACGACCAACACTACCAGAGCCAATGGCACATCATCATAGCTTTCAATCAATTTCAGGCGTGTAGAAAACCCGGCCACTATTACTGGAGCTCATATGAGGGGTCATGTCATGGGATGATTGCCGTATCGGATCGGATCGGATCGGATTGGATCGATCAGATCTGGCTGTTACTTCAATTTGTGGCTAATTGTCATTGCTTGCCCTTTTGAATCTTTTGCAACTGCAACCCTTCCAGCCATGAGTGATGATGGCACGTGCTCCTTGCACGACCCTTGCAGGCCTCATTGCATGCCTCCTCTGTGTTTGAAAATTTCCGCCGTTATTTTCCTCTCTTTGCCTCCCTGCCTCAGCACCACCAATCAGGTGAATAGGACGCTAACTTTGAGGCGCCACTCAAAAGGGATGCTAAATCTGAGGCGCTTAAGTAATGTTCATTCTCTCTCTTTGCCTCCTTGCTCCACCAATCCCGTCGCCACCAATCAGGTGAATAGGATGCTGGCATCGCTCGAAAGGAACGCTGACGTGGCGTCGCTGACGCAGCAGCAGACGACTTGCTCATGCTACCGCATCCGCAATGATTACTGCTGTTTCCAGTACATGTGCAAATGCTCTCCCGTGTGCTGGAACGGCTACGAGGTGAGTGAGGCTGTTTGAAAGGCCGCTCATGCTACTCCCTACACAGCATACTGGCTACCACTGCTGCAACCAGTACATGTGCAAATGCTCGCCCAACCCATGTGCTGGAACAGAACAGCTGTGAGGTGAAAGAGACTAGGCTGTCTGGTTGTAAGGCTATCAGGTAAAAGTGGCACCCTAGGCATTAGTCCTACACCGGGTAAAATTTGGGGCTTCAATGTGTGGGGGGGGCATTAGTCAGGTAAATACGGTACTAGTGCCTCGTTGCTTGCTGTCCGGCACAGTGGTAACCACTGCTGCCAGCAGTACATACATGTGCAAATGCTGGCCCATGTGCTGCTCCCTCTGCGTTCCCCACCAGCTCATATCTCTGGGTCAGCCCAAGTGCACACCAGCCACAGAGCACGCACCAACTCAGCCCAACATATGTTTTTTGAGAATTCTCAAAAACCATACCCCACCCACCAGCTCATTTCTCTGGGTCAGCCCAAGTGCGCAGCGCACCAGCCACAGAGCATGCACCGCACCACCTCAGCTCAGCCCAACGAGGCCCCCGTGCTCCCATCTCCCCATCCCTCTCCCCTGTTCCCCCTGCTCCCCCTGCTTCCCCCTGCTCCCCTCTGCTTCTTCATGAGCTCATTTCTCATGGACAACCCGAATGTGCACCAGCAACAGAGCACGCGCCCCCCCAACCCGGCCTTGTGACTGACTCCCAACGCATCCCTCCTCACTCCTCTTAACCCCTCCCCACCAGCTCATCTCTCTGGGTTAGCCCAAGTGCGCGCCAGCAACGGAGCACGCGCCTCCCCATCCCGTCCAGCCCCCCGTGCTCACCCCTGTGGACTGCTGCTCACTCCCACTGCCCTCCCTCCCGCCCCTCTCCCCTCTCCCCTCTTCCCTCTGCTTTCCCCTTTGGTTCCCCCTGCTCATCTCTCTGGGTCAGCCCAAGTGCGCGCCAGCAACGGAGCACGCACCTCCCCTTCCCGGCCAGCCACCCGTGCTCACCCCTGTGGACTGCGCGCAGCAGCAGGAGTTCAACTCCGCTCTCTAGCTTCTTCACAGAAACTCGCCCCCCCACTCCTCCCCTCATCTCCCCTGATTTCCCCTGCTTTCCCTTGATTTCTCCCTGCTTCCCCCACCAGCTAATATCTCTTGGACAACCCAAATGCGCACCAGCAACGGAGCATGCACCCCCCCTTCCTGGCCAGCCTCCCACTCTCACACCTGTGGACTGCGCGCACCCGCAGGAGTTCAACACCGCTCTTTACAGCTTCTTCACAGAAACGTCCGGGGGGAGCCTGGGCGTGTGGAGTGCAGGGGGAGGGGGGGACGGAGAGAGCGGTGGGAAAGGGTGGTTGGAGAGCCGGAGCGGTGTGGACTGGCGTTTTGGGCAGACGATGCTGCAGACGTTTAACAAGACTGAGACCAACATTGCTCACTATGCTGGTGGGTGGGTGGGCGGGTATGACCATTGGTGGGATGGGGGGCTATGGAGGTGGGAGGGCAAGCAGGGGGGCAGGCGGGTGGGCGGGCAGGTGGGAGGGTGGGTGGGCGGGTATGTGGGTGGGTGGGCGGGTGGGCATCATTGGTGGAGTGGAGTGGGAGAGGTGGCTTTTGGATTCCTTGGATGGGAAGTGTAGGCTCGTCGTTGTGGCGTGGATTCAACATCACCTCACGGCATTAAGAATGCCACCCCAACATTCCCCCTTCCTCCCAACCTCCCAACACCTCCCAGCCTCCCCTCCTCGCAGAGAAGGTCCTCACGCTCCTCCTGGTTAATAACTTCACAGCAGATTTTGGTTCGACTCAAAACCCCCCTCCTGCCTCTTCCTCCCAACCTCTCTTCATCCCGCAATTCCCCCCTCCTCCAAAGAAGGTCCTCGCGCTCCTTCTGGCCAGAACTTCACAGCTCCAGCTACACTACGATCCACCTTAACTCGCTTCATGCCCTGAGGGATGCTTGCCCCCCTCACACTGTCTCTCTGTGCTCCCTGTCCTGTCCCTCCGCTCCCCCTTCCTCCAGAGAAGGCCCTCACGCTTCTCTTGGCCAATAACTTCACGGCACCCGCTACACTGCAAACCCCAATCACCCGCTTCATGCTGCCCCGCGATGAGATGTTTGTTGAATGGTGAACAGTGTGGGGGTTTTGGGGTCTCAATTGTCGCCTGAAAAGGTCACCTCAGAAGGTCACCTCAAAATTTGCCTCAAAAGGTCGTCTCAAAAGCTCCCTTAAACACTACCTCGCTATGAGAGGTTCATTGAACGGTGAGCAGCAGGGGGTTGTGGCTATTGAAGCGGCTCAAATGCTGCCTGGAAAGTCGCTTCAAAAGACGTTTCAAAACGTGCCTCAGAAGTTGTTTCATGCTGCCTTGCGATGACAAGTTCATTGAATCCATCCATCCTTCCATCGTTCCATCCATCCATCCATCCTTCCATCCTTCCAGCCTTCCATCCATCCATCCATCCATCCATCCATCCAGCCATCCATCCATCCATCCATCCATCCATCCATCCATCCATCCATCCATCCATCCATCCATCCATCCATCCATCCATCCATCCATCCATCCATCCATCCATCCATCCATCCATCCATCCATCCACGTTGGCAGATACGTCAGGGGTGGCGTACTGGTGATACGTAAAAATACGCTGGGCGGGCAGGTAAAACTTTTTTCCCGGGCAGGGCTAAAAAAACCTGTTTCAGGGGGGGGGTTATGTTTCCCAAAAACACATGTTATAAATCATTTTCATAAATATCCAGAAATACATCTTTGAGGCTACTTCTCCCCACCCCATACATCCCCACCCCACCCTCTAGCTAGCTTCCCCACAGCCGAATTCCTTGCGGGGCTTTTCCAACACCACCCCTGCCCCGTACTCATCCGCCAGAACTGCATCCTCTCCTTCCGCCCCCAGCAGGTCATCCTCCTCCTCGTCCATGTTGTAGCCGCGAGGGATAGGGGCATCCGGGATGTTACCGGGCACAACCGTGCCGCCCCCATCCTTGTTGTACCAATTGCGTACAACGTTCCAGTCGTGCGCAATGTAGACGAGGTCCGCACACTTGGCGGACCCGAGCCGGTTGCGGCGGGCGGTGTGGACGCCTTCCCACTGTGCCCAGCCACGTTCGCATGGGGAAGCCGAGACGGGTTGAGTGAGCACCCGGCATGCGAGGGTGGCAAGCTCAGGGTACTCGGTGCTGTGCCAAGACCACCACTGCACCATGCTCATCTCCCCCTTCTTCACTGCCTCCCTTGCAGATATGGCGGCCGGCGTGCCATAGCTGCCCTTCATGTTGATGTAGGCCAGCAATGCCTCTTGCAGCAGAAGGGAGGCGCGGCGAGAGGTGCCATCCTTGCCACGCCTGAAGGTTTTGTTGTCGTAGTGGCGCTCGATGTAGGCCTTGAACACTCGAGTGCACTCCACATCGTTCATGAAAATTCCCTCCACCTGGTTGGCCGGATTCAGGATCCAGCCAACCACATGCATGGGGCAGGCAAGGGAGTTGTCCCACCTGTCCTTCAGAATCTTGGTGATATTTGCCTTTTCCGCCCTTGTCAAAATGTCGCCTGCCTCGTCCAACTTGTCATTGATGTCTTCGGTGAGTTGTAGCATGATATCATACATCTTACCCATCATCCCCTTCGCCGAGGAGTCTATGGCCCGCATGGCCTTGAACGACACTGCCATGAGAGAAGTAAAAAACACCGCCAGCCCCCACCACTCCTCATCCATCACGGCAGCCCTGAACTTCTCGGCTGCAATCTTCCTGTCCTTGTCCCTCGCTGCCCACTCATTCCACTCGTCGCTGAGAACCATCTGCGCCAGCCCACCCCGCACCTCGCACAGCCGGGACAGAGCTATGTACTGCGTCCCGAACCTGGTCCCCGCGGGCTTGAGCACCTGTTTCTCCCCACCCTTCTTCATGTAAGCACGGGTGAAGTGGTGGTTGCGCACAAAGTTAATCATCATCCCCCCCTTCTCCACGAGCCCCTTCGCCCATCCCATCTTGCCCACGTCTTCCATCATCAGGTCCAGGACATGCGTGGCACATGGCACATGCTCAATGTGCGGCCATGTGCTCGCAATCTTCTTGGCTGCCGAGGCATAGTTGCTGCCGCCATCAGTGCAGACCGCCACCACATTCTCCGGCCCCACCTTATCAATGACGGGGCGGAGAAGGCTGGCGATGTACCCCCCGGTCTTCGACTCCATGTTGCAGTCCACCGCCTGCTCGAACACTGCGTCGGAGTCGTTGACAAGGAGCACGTTGGCCTGCGGGCGGCCACAACGGTCAGTCATCATGTCCGACGACACGGTGACCCCGTCCCGCTTCCAGCTCGCGGCAACGGGGGCGAGCGCCTCCTCCATTTTCTGCCGCACCTTCTTCAAGCCCGCCCCTCCAATGTAGTGCCTGTTGGGGGGGACGTACCCCGGTCTAGCGCGCGCAAAGCACTGGACCGCGTAGCGGAAGACCATGTCATCCGCGATGCGCTCGGGAAGTCTTAACGCCGCGATCAAAAGGCAGAGGGCGTTATCCGCGTCCTCCTTGGCGCTCGTCGCCTCATCGCTGAAGAAGGACGTTATCTTCCCCTTCTTCTCTGAAGAACTAGTGATCGCGCCCAGCGCGGAGTCAATTGCTGCAGCGGCCGCCCCTCGTTTGACGCCCTGCTTCTCCACCTTCTCCTCGTACATGCCGCGCACTTCTTCACTGATTGCCGGGGACACCTTCTTGCAAAGCCGGACAGCACGTTTCTCCTGCCCTTTCCATTTCGCAAGGTGAACCGCGCAGCGATTGGTTCCGCCCTCAAACGTGAAGTCACAGAACTTACACATCTTGGGAGTGCCTTTAGTATGGTACGGAATAAGAAAATGTTTCAGAATGGGGTTCGAAAGGCCAGTCTCGACAGGCTCCATATTGATTGCGCCATTAGACGCGTGAACAGATGCAACATTGCTCGTCGCAGCAGGAGGGGAGGAGTTAGACGCCATGAGGACGAACGGGAGAAGAGAGCTACGGGAATAAAAACGACCGCTGCAATTGAATGAAACAAAGGAACTCGTCATCCATTATATGAGCAGACGAGTTGCCGAACAACATTTGAGAGGGATGGTTTGGTGGGGTGGTGTGTGGTTGGGGGGTTGGAAGGTTTGGAACTCGAAATTTGAATTTTAGAACTGGGTTGGGCGATGTGCGACTTCGCGGTAACAAATCGCGAAGTCGCAAAACCTTCGCGAAATTTTTCAATTTCGAAATTTTATTTTTGGCGGTCTGCCCGGACATATTTCCAAGAAATACGTGGCGTACCACGTACATGCGCACGTACATACTCAAGCGTATATACGTGGTACGCAACCCTGCCCAGGGCGTATCTGCCAACGTAGCCATCCATCCATCCATCCATCCATCCATCCATCCATCCATCCATCCATCCATCCATCCATCCATCCATCCATCCATCCATCCATCCATCCATCCATCCATCCATCCATCCATCCATCCATCCATCCATCCATCCATCCATCCATCCATCCATCCATCCATCCATCCATCCATCCATCCATCCATCCATCCATCCATCCATCCATCCATCCATCCATCCATCCATCCATCCATCCATCCATCCATCCATCCATCCATCCATCCATCCATCCATCCATCCATCCATCCATCCATCCATCCATCCATCCATCCATCCATCCATCCATCCATCCATCCATCCATCCATCCATCCATCCATCCATCCATCCATCCATCCATCCATCCATCCATCCATCCATCCATCCATCCATCCATCCATCCATCCATCCATCCATCCATCCATCCATCCATCCATCCATCCATCCATCCATCCATCCATCCATCCATCCATCCATCCATCCATCCATCCATCCATCCATCCATCCATCCATCCATCCATCCATCCATCCATCCATCCATCCATCCATCCATCCATCCATCCATCCATCCATCCATCCATCCATCCATCCATCCATCCATCCATCCATCCATCCATCCATCCATCCATCCATCCATCCATCCATTCCATCCATCCATCCATCCATCCATCCATCCATCCATCCATCCATCCATCCATCCATCCAATCCATCCATCCATCCATCCATCCATCCATCCCATCCACCATCCACCATCCATCCATCCATCCATCCATCCATCCATCCATCCATCCATCCATCCATCCATCCATCCATCCACCCATCCACCCATCCATCCATCCATCCATCCATCCATCCATCCATCCATCCATCCATCCATCCATCCATCCATCCATCCATCCATCCATCCATCCATCCATCCATCCATCCATCCATCCATCCATCCATCCATCATCCATCCATCCATCCATCCATCCATCCATCCATCCATCCATCCATCCTTCCATCCCTCCATCCTTCCATCCTCCCACCCTTCCATCCTTCCACCCTTCCATCCTTCCACCCTTCCATCCTTCCACCCTTTCATCCTTCCATGGGTCACAGAACCTTAGGCGATGCCCCCATGGCATTCGGCCTAGTTGAATTCGAATCCGCATGGAACGCCGCGACCGAATCCCGCCCCCTCTGCTTTGAAAGCCTCTTCCTCCTGGGCTTCTTCAAAGGAGTGGCCTTCCTGTCCCACCCTGCTCAAGGCACCTATTTGGACCGGCATTTAAGAATCAAGCTGTGGTTGGAGCCTCGAGAGAAAATAGTGTGGGGGGCGGATGGGGTGAAGGGGTGGCGGCCGCGAGTGCTGTATATCACACGGCTGGGGGCGGAGTTGAAGGGTCGGCGCACCTTTGTGCCGGAGAGTCATGAGGCGCTGCTGAAGCTGATGAGCGACCTGGACCTTGAGGTGGGTTCCTTCCTCCTGCCTGGCAGCTAGCTTCTTGACAAGTGCTGTATTTCACACAGTTGGGCGCTGCTGAAGCTCTTGCAAGTTTTGGATCTCGAGGTGAGTTTCAGGTGGGTTTCAGGTGGGTCTTCAGGTGTATTCCAGGGGGATAATGGGTGGATTGGTGGTCAGTCACAGGGGGGTTTCAGGTGGATATTGAGAGAGGTTGAGCAGGTTTGAAGGTGGGTTTCTAGTAAGTTTCGAATACGTTATAGTCTGATGTATTGAGTTCTTCGAAAGCTAAAGTGGTATCAGATGTGTTTCTCGATTGTTGCTAGAATGTCCACCCACTGACTGAAAGAGCTCGATAACGTGTTTTTTGGGGGTTTCAACCCAGAAAAGGGCAGTCCCTTGTTACCTGTTTTCCTCTTCATAATCCTATTATCGTGATCTTGTGTGTTCATTTCTTGCTTTGGTTTTCCCTGCGCCTCCATCCACACTCTCTTCTCCAGGTGACAATGGCCGAGTTGGGGCACCTAACATTCCGGCAGCAATTCGAAGCGCTTCAATCAGCTGACATCATCATTACCATCCACAGCGCCTCCTTCATGAACGTTCCCCTCCTCGCGCGCCGCTCCGCTGTGGTGATTGAGATAATGCCCTACAGGGTCGTGCATGACTTGTACTATTCGCTAACTCTCAACTCCGGAATGCCGTATTTCCTCAAGATGTGTCGCAAGGGGGAGGAGCAGGAGGGGGATGCTGCTTTCAAAGAGTTGAACGGCTTTGATTGCATGCGCAAGCATGCAGCGTGCAAGGCCCACCATGTGCACTTTCGGAGCGTAGAGCTCACGAACAGGGATTTGCAGGATTTGAGAACGATGCTGATGGTTGCAAAGGGGTTGGCTGGAGCGATTTTGGGGGCGTTTGGGAGGGAAGTGGAGCCTGATGAGCTGCCCGTGTGGGCAGAAGAAAAGTTGAAGGACGTGTGTGTTGCCTGAGACGTGGAGCTGTTTGGATCAAGGAGTGATTTTCTACGGCTGCCCAAGCGTGGGAAGCCGGAAGATTATTTTATTTGTGTGTTTTCGAGGGATGATCGTGATGATGCATGATATCGGCATGGGCACCATAAAGCGTAGACCATAGAGCGTAAAGCATACCACTTTATCATGTGATGGCAGTAATATAGTGCATTACAGTGCTGTAAAATATATAACCTGTTGTACGGCGTACAGGTCTATTCTCGCCAATGTACACCCAACATGGCGGTAAATCTATTGTCATGGCTCTAACAGTTCGAGCCTATGTCATGCATCATCAAGATCATCCCTCGAAAACACACATATAAAATCCTCGTCCGCCTTACCTGGCTTGGGCACCCGTAAAAAATCGTTCCGCGGTCCGGACCAATCCACATCTCGGGCCACACACACATCCTTGAACTTCTCTTCTGCCCACCTTGGCAGCTCCTTGGGCTGAATCTCCCTCCCAAACGCCCCCAAGCTCGCGCCAGTCACACCCTTTGCCACCATCAGCATAGTTTTCAAATCCTGCAGATCTCGGTTCGTGAGTTTCACGCGCCGGTGGTGAACATGATGCTCCTTGCACGCTGCGTGCTTGTGCATGCAATCGAAATGGTTCAGATCCTTGAACTCTGCGTCGCCCTCCTGCTCGTCCCCTTTGCGGCACATCTTGAGGATATACGGCATTCCGGAGTTGAGCATTAGAGAGTAGTACAACTCGTGAGCCACCTTGTAGGGCATTATTTCAATAACAACGACGTTGCGTCGGGCGAAAAGAGGCGCGTTCATCAAGGATGCGCTGTGGAGGGAAATGATGATGTCGGCCGATTGAATGGCTTCGAACTGCTGGCGGAATGTGAGGTGACCCATCTCGACCATTGTCACCTGTTGGGGATGGGTGGACAGAAGAGCAGCAGGCAAAGAGGGGGACATTCATGAATGAAGCGCTGTGGGGGGAAATGATGATGTCGGCCGATTGAATGGCTTCGAACTGCTGGCGGAATGTGAGGTGACCCATCTCGACCATTGTCACTCGGAGAAGAGGCATGGGTGGATGGATGAGGGGGAAGACCAGAAGAGCAGAAGAGGAAGACGTTGAGAGAGGAATGTAAAGTGGCCCATGTCGACCATGTTCACCTGGAGAAAGAGCATGTGCGGATGAATGGAAGCAGAAAAGTTGGATGAGGCATGCCTTATGATCCGGATGAGGGAAGGAGACAAAAAGATGGAAGAGGAACGAAAAGAAGAGGAAGACGTTGAAAGAGAGAGGAACGCCGTTTGGAGAAGGGGCGTGCACGGATGGATGGTGGGGCGTGTGTGGATGGATGGTGGGGCGTGTGCGGATGGGTGAAGGAGGGCGTGTGCGGATGGGTGAAGGGGCGTGTGTGGATGGGTGAAGGGGCGTGTGTGGATGGGTGATGGGGAAGACAGAAGCAAGACGATGATCATGAGAAGGAGAAACAGACATAATGAAAAGGAGGACGTGTAACTGCAGGTGTTATAGGGCCCACCTTTCTTTTGATGCAATAGGGCTTGCAGTCTCTGGATGCACGTAATTAAAGAAAAAAACTACTGTGGTTATAACAATTCAGTGGGTGCATCCTTTAGGGCGCGTGTCTTTTGGTTTTTATAAGCAAAACTCGGATTTTGGGTTGAACTATCTCATTTGAACCTAGGTCGACCTAGGCTCGAGTTTATCCACATCTGCAAACCGAGTCGCGGCTCCCACACTCTCGAGAATCACATGACACACAAAAGTTCACCTATCGAAGTTGAACTTTTACAGCCCCCCCGAGTCGCGGCCTATTCTCGTAGGTTACCCTATTCACGTTCACAACCACGTGTCCGTTGCATAAACCGGGACTCAATCTGACGAAGTCGCTAGTGCGCACGATGCTAGCTACGAGCGTCGCAGAATTCGCATCGTCGTTGTCAGTGGTCAGTTGGACACACGCTTGCATTTTCGTGCCAGCATGTTTGTTGATGAAAGTTCAACTTCAGATTCGTGCTTTCATCACCCCCGATGGTGTACTTGGACACACGACGTCTTGGCGAAGAACTTGGCGAAAATTGCGAATAGGGTAACCAGCAAAAGTTCAACCAAAAATCCGAACGTCTACAGCAAAAGACGCGCGCCCTTAAAGACAGTTTAGAAACACATGTACCTGAACAAAGTTCAGAAATACAGGGATTTCAAACAACTCAAGACATAGATACAGGGCTTTCAAAAAACTCAAGACATCAATACATGGCTTTCAAACAACTCAAGACATCAACACAGGGCTTTCAAACAACTCAAGACATCAATACAGGGCTTTCAAACAACTCAAGACATCAATACAGGGCTTTCAAACAACTCAAGACATCAACGCAAGGCTTTCAAACAACTCAAGACATCAATGCAAAGCTTTTAAACAACTCAAGACATCAATACAGGGCTTTGCCTACTCGGGACTTCTCAGAAAAGTACCTTCGAACCTGCCTCACCTGAAATACACCTAAAACCACCTGGAACTCACCTGAAAATCCAAATCATTCATGAGCCTCAGCAGTGCCTCATGGCTCTCCGGAACGAAGCACCGCCGACCCTTCAACTCCGCCCCCAGCCGTGTGATATACAGCACCCGCGGCCGCCACCCCCTCGCCCCATCCGCCCCCCACACCATTTTCTCTGGAGGCTTCAGCCCCAGCTTGATCCTCAGGTGTCTCTCCAGGTAGGTGCCTTGGTCAGGGTGGGACGGGAAGACCATTCCCTTAAAGATGCCAGGGAGGAGGAGGCTTTCGAAGCAGAGGGGGCGGGATTCGGTCGCTGCGTTCCATGCAGACTCGAACTCCACTAGGCCGAATGCCATTGGTAGGTCCCCCAGGGTCTTGTGAGCGAGGCTGGTGGTAGGGGACGGGAGGGCGTGAGAGGGGTGAGAGAGCGTGAGAGAAGGGGACGGAGAAAAGAAGAGAGAAATCATGAGATGCATTCATATAGACTCAACTAGTCCGAAGGCCATGGTGCGTTCACCAGTGAGGGTCCGAAGGCCAGGGTCTTGTGAGTGAGGCGAGGCTGCTGGTGGTGGCGTGTGGGTGGTCGCAAGAGTGAGAAGGAGGGGGGAGAAAAGAATAGCGTGTCTGTCAGTGTCTAGGAGCGCAACGAGATGCCAGAAGGGCAGCTCTTAGAGGCATGTGAGCAAGGCTGGTGGTGGTGGTGGTGGTGTGTGTGTACATGAAGATCACTCTTGAGAATTCTCAAAAGTGATTTTCTATGAGATGCCATAAGGGCCGCTCTCAGAGTCCTGGGAGCGAGGCTGGTGGTGGTGGTGGTGGAAAGAGTGCTTCCCTGTGGAGTGAGAAGGAGGGGGGAGCATAGGAGAGATAGATTACGAGACGCAATAGACCAACCAGCCCGAACGCCATAGGGGCGTCTCCCTGAGTCCTGTGGTCGAGGATGGCGAAGAGGGAGTTGAAGAGAAAAGGAGGGGGTGTCTGCCAATGAGATCCGTTAAAGCCACCCTCCTGCCCGAGTTCCATGGGGGGGGGGGAAATCATGCGAGCGCAATCATGCGATGATCTAGTTGAGTGTGATCTTCCCTTGTGTGCTTGCTTTGCTTTCGAGTCAACACCGTGCAGTTGGGGAGTGTTGTGGACGCAAAGGGAAGAGACACGGCGTGACGGGAAACTCAAGTAAAAAATGACAGGAGAGTGCGATGATCTAGATGATTGTGGTATTTGATTGAGCTGACTCAAAAGTCAACTTTTGAGTCGACTAAAATGACAGGCGAGTGCAATGATCTAGTTGAAGGGCTTTGAGACGTCTCAAAACACTTCTTTTATGTCACGTGGAAACTCGAGAACAAAAGACAAGCGAGTGCTATGATTTAGATGAGTGTGATCTTCCCTTGTGTGCTTGCTTTGCTATCAGCAGAGTAACGTACAGTTCCGGAGAGTTGTGCACGCGGGAGGCGAGCAGCGGCGTGACAGCGAATTCGATCATGGCCTGCATCACCCGAGCAAACATGGAGTCTGCACCTATCGTTCGAATTCTGCAAATTGCGTGGATGGAAGGATGGAGCATTGGAGGTCCAAAATCGGTGATGACTTTTGAGTTGACTCAACAGGAACATCGAGTTTGCACCCATCAATGGAAATCTGCGCATCAGATGAATGGAATCATGGAAGGATGGATGGATCATTGGAAGGCTTGAAGAGGCTTATGACATTTGAGTTGACTCAACAGTCGAGTGAAGATGGAATTGAAGAAGGGTTTTGAGACGTCTCGGCACCCATCGTCCGCATTCTGAGCATCGGGTGGATCGAAGGACCAAGAAGGTTTAGGGTTGCTCCCATAATTGCAGCTGCGCCCCTCAGTTGTTCACTTTTTGTTGTCTTCTCATCAATCCACGGCTTCTCATCTTGCGACAGTCCCCACACTGCACACCTCGCCACACTCCCCACGCTGCTCACTGCTTAATGAACACCCCCTTGCAAGGCAGCATGAAACGGGTTTTGAGGTGGGTTTGAAACGAGTTTTGAAACGAGTTTTGAGGCGTCTCAAAAGTCACAATCCCTGCGCTGCTCACCGTTCAATGAACTGTGGCGAGCGAGGCAGCATGAGGCGATTCACGGTGGATTGCAGCGCAGCTGACGCCGTGAAGTTGTTGGCCAGGAGGAGCGTGAAGACCTTCTCTGCAGTTGGGATAAAAGGGAGGGGGTGGGAGGAGAGAGGGAGGTTGGGGAAGTGCTGCAGTGGATTGCAGTACAGCTGGTGCCGTGAAGTTGTAGCGTGAAGACCTTCTCTGCCGGGAAGAGGGGAGAGAGCAACACGGTGAGGCGAGCGACAGGATGAGGCGAGCGACAGGGTGAGGCGAGCGACAGGGTGAGGCGAGCGACAGGGTGAGGTGAGCGACAGGGTGAGGCGAGCGACAGGGTGAGGCGAGCGACAGGGTGAGGCGAGCGACAGGGTGAGGCGAGCGACAGGGTGAGGCGAGCGACAGGGTGAGGCGAGCGACAGGGTGAGGCGAGCGACAGGGTGAGGCGAGCGACAGGGTGAGGCGAGCGACAGGGTGAGGCGAGCGACAGGGTGAGGCGAGCGACAGGGTGAGGCGAGCGACAGGGTGAGGCGAGCGACAGGGTGAGGCGAGCGACAGGGTGAGGCGAGCGACAGGGTGAGGCGAGCGACAGGGTGAGGCGAGCGACAGGGTGAGGCGAGCGACAGGGTGAGGCGAGCGACAGGGTGAGGCGAGCGACAGGGTGAGGCGAGCGACAGGGTGAGGCGAGCGACAGGGTGAGGCGAGCGACAGGGTGAGGCGAGCGACAGGGTGAGGCGAGCGACAGGGTGAGGCGAGCGACAGGGTGAGGCGAGCGACAGGGTGAGGCGAGCGACAGGGTGAGGCGAGCGACAGGGTGAGGCGAGCGACAGGGTGAGGCGAGCGACAGGGTGAGGCGAGCGACAGGGTGAGGCGAGCGACAGGGTGAGGCGAGCGACAGGGTGAGGCGAGCGACAGGGTGAGGCGAGCGACAGGGTGAGGCGAGCGACAGGGTGAGGCGAGCGACAGGGTGAGGCGAGCGACAGGGTGAGGCGAGCGACAGGGTGAGGCGAGCGACAGGGTGAGGCGAGCGACAGGGTGAGGCGAGCGACAGGGTGAGGCGAGCGACAGGGTGAGGCGAGCGACAGGGTGAGGCGAGCGACAGGGTGAGGCGAGCGACAGGGTGAGGCGAGCGACAGGGTGAGGCGAGCGACAAGGTTAGGCGAGCGACAGGGTTAGGCGAGCGACAGGGTTCTTTGCAGTCCTCCGAGGTGACTTTTGAGTCGACCCGAAAGTCGGGCGTGGGGGAGAGAGGTTCTTTGCAGTCCTTCGAGGTGACTTTTGAGTCGACTCAAAAGTCGAGCATGGGGGAGAGAGGTTCTTTGCAGTCCTCTGAGGTGACTTTTGAGTCGACTCAAAAGTCGAGCGTGGGGGAGAGAGGTTCTTTGCAGTCCTTCGAGGTGACTTTTGAGTCGACTCAAAAGTCGAGCGTGGGGGAGAGAGGTTCTTTGCAGTCCTTCGAGGTGACTTTTGAGTCGACCCAAAAGTCGAGCGTGGGGGAGAGAGGTTCTTTGCAGTCGTTCGAGGTGACTTTTGAGTCGACTCAAAAGTCGAGCGTGGGGGAGAGAGGTTCTTTGCAGTCCTTCGAGGTGACTTTTGAGTCGACTCAAAAGTCGAGCGTGGGGGAGAGAGGTACTTTGCAGTCCTTCGAGGTGACTTTTGAGTCGACTCAAAAGTCGAGCGTGGGGGAGAGAGGTACTTTGCAGTCCTTCGAGGTGACTTTTGAGTCGACTCAAAAGTCGAGCATGGGGGAGAGAAGTTCTTTGCAGCCCTTCGAGGTGACTTTTGAGTCGACCAAAAAGCCGAGCGTGGGGGAGAGAGGTTCTTTGCAGTCCTTCGAGGTGACTTTTGAGTCGACCCAAAAGTCGAGCGTGGGGGAGAGAGGTTCTTTGCAGTCCTCCGAGGTGACTTTTGACTCGACCCAAAAGTCGAGCGTGGGGGAGAGAGGTTCTTTGCAGTCCTTCGAGGTGACTTTTGAGTCGACTCAAAAGTCGAGCGTGAGGGAGAGAGGTTCTTTGTAGTCCTTCGAGGTGGCTTTTGAGTCGACTCAAAAGTCGAGCGTGGGGGAGAGAGGTTCTTTGCAGTCCTTCGAGGTGACTTTTGAGTCGACTCAAAAGTCGAGCGTGGGGGAGAGAGGTTCTTCGCAGTCCTTCGAGGTGACTTTTGACTCGACTCAAAAGTCGAGCGTGGGGGAGAGAGGTTCTTTGCAGTCCTTCGAGGTGACTTTTGAGTCGACTCAAAAGTCGAGCATGGGGGAGAGAGGTTCTTTGCAATCCTCCGAGGTGACTTTTGAGTCGACTCAAAAGCCGAGCGTGGGGAAGAGAGGTTCTTTGCAGTCCTCCGTGGTGACTTTTGAGTCGACTCAAAAGCCGAGCGTAAGGAAGAGAGGTTCTTTGCAGTCCTCTGCGGTGACTTTTGAGTCGACTGAAAAGCCGAGCGTGGGGAAGATAGGTTCTTTGCAGTCCTCCGCGGGTCCTCACGCTGGCGCTGTGAACTTCTTGGCCAAGGTTCTCCCAACTTCACGGTGCTGCAGAGAGAGTAAGGACCAAGAGCAGCGTGAGGACCTTCCGTGCAGTAAACGAGGTTGGTAAGTTGGGTGGCAGGAAGGAGGGGGGGATGGGGGAGGTTGAAGAGCAGAGCAGAGCAGAGCAGCGGGTGCTTGAAGCTGTTACCACCAGTAAACCTGCACCACAACCTCCAGCGGGTGCACCCACCCCACCCCACTTACGAGAGAAGTGTGCAATGTTGCCCTCGCTCTGGCTGAACGTCTGTAGCATCGTCTGCCCAAACCGCCAGTCCACCCCGCTACGGCTCCCCAGCCACCCTTCCCCACCTCGTCCTCCGCCCCTCTCTCCGCCCTCCCCTCCGCCCCCACTACCACCTCCCCCTTCCCCTGTACTCCGTACGCCCAGGCCCCCTTCGGAAGTCTCTGGAAAGCAGCTGTAGAGAGCGCTGCGGAATGTGTGTTGCTCTGCGCAGCTCACAGGGGTGAGCACGGGCGGCTGGCCCGGTTGGGGAGGTGCGTGCTCTGTTGCTGGTGCACACTTGGGCTCACCCAGAGAAATCGGCTGGTGGGATGGGGAGAAGCAGAGGGACGGGGGAGAGGGGACAGGGAGAGGGGAGAGGGGAGAGTGGAGAGGGGAGAGGTGCGAGAGAGAGGGTAGTGGGAGTGAGCAGCAGTCCACCTGGGTGAGCACGGGTGGCTGGCCGGGTTGAGTCTGATTTTAGTCGACTAAAAAACAGACTCATCACACGCGGGCTTTTGAGTCGAGTCGACTCAAAAACAGATTCATCAGACGCGGCGAGAGAGGGCAGTGGGAGTAAGCAGCAGTCCACAGGAGTGAGCACGGGTTGAGTGAGCACGGGTTGAGTGAGCACATGGAGGGGTCGTAGCGGTGGTAACCACTGAGTTGGTAGGCAACTTTTGAGTCGACTCAAAAGTCACAAGGAGGGGTCGCAGCGGTCGTTTTGAGACGTCTCAAAACACTTCTTAATACGCGGTGGTAACCACTGAGTTGGTTGGCAACCTGGCAGCAGTATAAGCCGCATTTACATCATGGCCGTTCCAACGCAAGCCTCATTTACCTCATGGCCCTACAAGCCTCATTCACCCCATAGGCTTACAGCAGGATAGCCACACAGCCCGATGGCCTTTGGAGACCACATTTACCTCATAGCCCTTGCAGCACATGGGCGAGCATGTGCACATGGAGTGGCGGCAGCAAAATAGTGATAACCACTTGTTGATTGGCGGTATGGCAGTAGAGGGCCGCATTTATGTGACAACCACACAACCTTACAGACTTAAGACGTCTCTTACCTGAAAGCCTTACAAAGTGATGGCATGCAACTTGATGGCATGCAACTTGATGGCATGCAACTTGACGGCATGCAACTTGACGGCATGCAACTTGATGGCACGCAACTTGATGGCATGCAACTTGATGGCATGCAACTTGACGGCATGCAACTTGACGGCATGCAACTTGATGGCACGCAACTTGATGGCATGCAACTTGATGGCATGCAACTTGATGGCATGCAACTTGATGGCATGCAACTTGATGGCATGCAACTTGATGGCATGCAACTTGATGGCATGCAACTTGATGGCATGCAACTTGATGGCATGCAACATGATGGCATGCAATTACCTGATAACCACACAGCCGTATAGACTTAAGCCTCATCTACCTGAAAGCCATGTAAAGTGTGAAGCCATACAGCCTGTCTGACGGTCCTACAAGCCTCGTTTACCTGGTAGCCGTTCCAGCACATGGGAGAGCACTTGCACATGTACTGGTAGCAGCAGTAATCATTGCGCACGCGGTAGCACGAGCATGTTGTTTGCTGCTGAGTCAGCGACGCCACGTCAGCATTCCTTTCGAGAGACGCCAGCGTACTGTTCACCTGGTTGGTTGGTTGGTTGGTGGTGATGTGGATCAAGGAAGGAGGGAAAGAGCGGGAAAAACAGCTGATGGTTGAAAGAACAGAGGAGACATCATGATGGCATGCAAGGAGACACGCAAAGGAGGCAGGCATGCAGCGTAATGGCTCATGGCTGGGAGGGCTACAGTGAGGTGCAGAGGAAACAACAACAACAGGGCACCGATGGCGCCAAGACGCAAAAGGAAGGAGAGCAATGAACAAAGGAGGAAAACAAGCAGCCAAGGTCCAGAGGAACATGAAGCAAGGTCGCTCTTGAAAAACGGCCTGAAGCTCTTTCTGAGATGGGCTCGTAATTGTACTGATCTGTCCGAACGAGCTGGATGATCCATTCCGCGGCAAACCATGATATGGCTGGTCTATTGTGCTCCAGTTTCCACGTGTACGTGAGTTTGACGCGCCTCAAAACTCACCCCAATGAAATGGCTGGTCTATCTGTGCTCCAGTTTCTACTTGTACAGCTTCCCCTCCAGCCGTTTCTTTATTTGTTTCTTTGTTTTTATTTTTTGTTCCTTTTTTTCTTGTATACACTGTATAAGTCTGCGAGGCACGTAAAAAAAAATAGTTGGCATCCACGCAAAAGGGCGGCATTCTCTTAGCTTGATGCATCCGATGCCAGCTAGTTGTGCTCAAGTTTTGAGGCGCCTCTGAAGTTGACTTCAAGGAACCCCAAGAGAACGTCTCTAAAACTTCAAATACCTCGCTCAGTTGAACATTGCGCGCCTCAAAATGGAGCCTCAAGGGACGTCTCTAAAAGTTCAAATTCCTCGCTCAGTTAAACATTGCCTCACATCACATGACACTGGTCTCGTACCGTAGTGGGAGCATTTAACCTCATACCGTTCCAATCTCGCCTCTTGAACCACTCATGATGCCTGGAAGAAGGAGGAACATGTCCCGTTTGTCACCTTCGGGAGGACCATGGCACCTACAGGCTACACCGCCTGGGTTGTCATGTCACTGCTGATACTATCACTTCCGTGACGCCCGCCTGGCTGGCGTAATCTTTGACCAAGTCTCTCTCGAGATCCGCCAGCTCTCATGACTCATCTTAAATCAACTCTGCAGCAAGTTTTGAGGGGCCTCCAGTTTAGCGCCTCCAGTTTCATGATATTAAGGCGCCTCAGAACTCTAAATCGACCCGCACCAAGTTTTGGCGCCTCGAATTCCTAGGCGCCTCAAAATCTGAAGCGGCTCATATCATCTTGAAGAGTTTTCACTTGGGCGTGCAGCAGTCACTGCCAAAAAAGTTTGGCCCAAAAAGCTCCCCCCAGGTTACCCCCAGCTTACCCCCTGGAGAGATACCCTGGGGTCCTTGTCTAGGTAAGCCGCGGGTGACCTCTGCAGTTTTCACTTCGCGTGGTGACCCCGAGGTTACCCACAGGTGGTGACCCACAAGTGACCCTCCCAACCTGCGGGAGCGAATCAGACGCGAGACGTGTGACCCCCCTGACACCTTCCCAACTTGTGGGAACGAATCGTACGCCACCCGCGTACGCGCTGTGAAATGTATCGCCAACACCATAGAAATCTGCCGACAGTACACTAACCAGCACTAAAGAAAAGTAGAGCAACATCTTGTGCAACATTTAAATACTACATTCTGTTATAGCCACATTCAAAATTTGTATTAGCCGATTCCATTTCAGCTTATATTATTTCACAATTAAGCATATCAAAATACACTATAGATCACTGCAGAGATTGTAAGTTGAGGACAATGAGTAGTTCCATTAATCATTAATCTAAGATTGGCACTACACCATTGCATGCAATAAATTTATATATTGAACACTTGCTAACATGCAGATAAACGACTGTGTAGACACGGAATATTAGAGTACCAAAAAGCAGCTTCAGCGGTCTTCGCTTATAGTGAAGGCACAATATATTGCCTGTCATAAATGGATAGTGGAAACAAGCGGGGAAATGTCAGTAGCAGCAGGAAACAATTAGTGGAATGGAACGGGCCGTTTTTTTCACGCCACAGCAGTGAACTATGCGAAATCTGCTTACCAGAAAAGAAGTATTGCTAGGTAGGAGGCGGCAATAGTAACTTATTGGTTATCCAATGACTGCAAAAACACGGCGCAAAGGCAATGGATTGCAATGAAAGAAAACTATGACATGGCGAAAGCAACAGGAAACCAGGTTGTCGACAAAAACAAAACAGAGGCAATGAAAAGCACATAAAAAGCGACGCCGTGAAGCAAACGGAGTGTGCGGCGCTCATTATGCAACCACATCGTCAAGCATTTCGAGAAGATCACAAGCGGGTAGCCTACCCCGTAAGCACTATCTGGAGCCCCGGTGCCGCAACGATTCTCACGTCATTACGCGATGTCTGCGAAGGAGCTTGCATTGCTCCCGGATTCGATAATCTGCCATAAAGAATCGATCACGAAATAACCCCAAGTAAACGCATGTCATAAAAACCGTGGCAACAGTGAAAAGAAAAGGAACAAAATCCCTAAGCGTGCATAAGAGGCTTCAGGAAACAGAGCTTAGCGACGATTACGGAGGAGCTGTTCCACTATCTGGAGCTGTAACCGTAGTAGCTGTCCTACGCGGGTATCACGTGTTGAAAATGAAGCTAAAATGACGGGTTGTGTGAAGAGGAGGGTCGATAAGTAGTCTGAAGGTGCTAGAAGAGGAGATGAGTAGAAGGTGATGTGGAAGAGCTCCGATTGGTTCGTGAGTTGAAATGTGCCACGTAACTCAACCCATCACTGTATTGCAGCATATTGAGCGATGCGATAGAAATCACAAAAACAAACAGAAAACCGCAGTTATAGATATTACCAACAGGTCTAGAGAAGAAGTGTACAACTGTCTGGAATTGCCGTACGTGGCTGCCTCGGCAGCCAAAGTGAAGCGAGATTTTGATTGGTGCTGATTCGTCCTCAGAAGCTGGGGAGTATCCTCGGGGTAACCCAACGAACTGACCAGCCTCCTGATTGGTCAAATGTTCACTTACAAATGTGTGCGACGAGCTCCCTTCGAGTTGCTGACGTGTAATTGCTCAGGGGTAACCTCGGGGGTACTTGCTGGGGAGTTGTGGGTAACCCCGCGTGGGTGACCCTGGGGTCTCCCGCGATTTCAGAGTGATTGCTGCGTGTGGAATTTTGGGATGGTGCCTCAAGTCTTAAGGCGCCTCAAGTTGTAAGGTGCCTTATGTTCTGAGGCGCCTAAGAATCCCAAAGTGACACATGAAGGGTTACACACTTGAGCCTGCAGCAAGTTTTGAGGCGCCTCAAAAGGCTGAAGCGACCCATGCCAATACGACGGGATCTCACTTGAGCCTGCAGCAGCCGCTCCTCCCGCATCCGTCGCTCCTCTCTTACTCTGCTCGCGCGCACCCCAGCCGCGCCGCTGTCACCGTAAAGGCTTGGGCCGAGGAGCATCATCAGCACCAGCGCTGCGCACCACCCGCACCGCCATAACCTAGAACTACTTGTACTCGATAAACCGCGCTCCGACATCCTTGTAGCAATATCCGAAGAAGCAGTATGGATAGACGATACTCTACGGATCTGCAGGGAACAACAATGTGTGCGCTTAGTAGGAACAGCGGTCACCCGCAGGGTAAGAGACGGCGAGTGGCGAGGCGAGTGGATGGGAAGGCCTGAACAAACCAAGGGCATTTTTCCCTCCCGTGTGTGTTTGAGCCGACTGGGTTTTCTTCGGGAATCGGGACTCATGACGCGCCATGCGCCTCTCTTCCGCACTTGCTGCTGCTGCTGCTTGAGGCGGGCGCGTCGACAAGGGGGAGAGGCGCGGGCTGGGACACCTACGAGTCAGCGTCCGCCGTTCTGAGGGAGGGGGTCTGGGTAGCCCTGGGGGAGAAGACTCCTCATCCGTGAATCATGTGCGCCGACTTCTGAGCGCGATTCACTGATCAGTCCCCGGCTTTCGTCTTCCTATCAAAGCAACTGTTGGTGTCATCCGAAATTCTTGGACGACCAATGGGGTGAATTTCAGGTCTTGTCAACGATAATGTAGCAGTAATACCATTGGTCATCTAAAAACTTCGGATGCCTCCAAGAGTACTCTTGACACGAGGTGAGATACCCTCACCCTCACACTCTCCCTCTGTCAAAGCTTCCTTCCCCATTGCTACATCTGGCGGAGCTTTTCCCTGAGATGCGCGGTGCAGTGGAATTACCTGCGGCCAATGGCGTCGTCAAACTGGAATGGAAACCTGCGCTCCGTTCGGAGATAGGTTGGGTTGGGACCCCCAAGCCCTCGACGGCACATGATACGGGCGTTCATGCCCTCTGCTGACCACGCTGCTTGCTGGCAGCATTCCGAAGACGTGACTTGCTCGTCACGACATTTGGTTTCGCCAGGGGACGACCAGGTAAGATGCTTTCAGGTACTGTAGCAGGTTGGCTCTACTTGCGTGTGGTAGTGAGGGAGTGGGAAAGGAAAGATGGGATGGGAGGGATGGGATGGGATTGAATGGGATGAGATAGGATTTGATGGGATAAGGGTAGAGCTTTTTTCGCGAGGGGAAAGGCAGGCAGCCGATGAGGGGGATGGGTGGGGGGAAGAAAAAAATCACCTGCGCGGGTGACGCGCGGGGACTGGCACGCGGATGACAGGTGTTTGTGCAAATTCTCGACTCTGGTTTGAGGTTTTTATCTTTAGTGTCACCAAGACCGAGCACGCTGACATCCGCAGTTAGTTACGTGAGTAAATTGTATCAATCATATCCTCAAATCCCCCATGCGGTACCTGTCACCCCTCCTTAGTAACTATCAACTCTCCGCAAATTCCCCAACTGGTACCAAAACATTTCAACTGCATTGTACGTCGTACACATGAGATAAGATTCAGCAAAAACATCGCCATTCAGGCTAGAGAAAGTGTTGTCTTGTAAATAAACATGCATGTTTACTCATGCCCTTTATCGACCTTATAAGAGAAAACAAATAAAGGATTCATAAAGTGCGCATGGAAGACCCTACATCTGTATTATATTAATCCATACAACCATACGGAATCTACGCAAGAAAAGGGGTACATAAAACTCACATCATAAACAAAAAATCAAATATTATGCAAAAAATAAGTAGCATGGTCAACAGAAGGCATGAACATCCTATCATGCATCATGAAGCTCAAATACTTTTTGTGCCAATTAATATTTTTGCGTGCCAAATGTCAGACTTATATGATATAGCCTATGTAGGCTGTAGCGGGTTAGATACTAAGGGGTACACAATTTTAGGGTTTCATATTTGTATCAGACTCATTCCTTAGTCATTCATTCCTCGTAATCTTCACGTGGAATAGAGCAGGTTCCCTAGTGGGAACGTTTCCTAGGGCCCACCACTGAAAATCGAATTATTTTTTTTCCTGCCCGGAGCGCGCTTCACTCCTGCCCGAGTCGCGCCGCGTGTGCCTACCCTCCCGTCGCGTCCTCTGCCCTAAGCGGTCCGTCGCGCCCTTTTACGGCCCCTCGCGGTCCCCTCCCACGGCCCTTCGCGGCCCCTTCGCGGCTCCCTTGCGGCCCCTCCGCCGCCCTTCGCGGCGCCTCTCACGGCCCTTCACGGCACCCTGCTGTGTAAGTTTTCTAGTAGCAAGGCTTAGGAGCCATGCGAGTTAGGTGGAAGCGGTTGAGTTCGAGTGAGTTTAGGTGAGTAGGAAGATTGCAACAAAAGAGGGTGTTCACTATAGAGCGAGCAGTACAAATAGGCAAGAATGAAGAAAGGTGCACCACCAAACAGAAAGTTATATGACTACAGTAGTCTACACTACAGGCAGTTACAAAACAATATATAGAATTATATATTATTTTGACACGCCCCCATAAGTGCCTGTAGGGAAGAATGTGCAGTCAACGCCCCCATAATGGGGTACACCAGACAGGCCGTAGCGGAAATCATAGCAACAGGCAAGTGCAGTGGCAACCGGTGCAGTGATGGCAGATCCAGCTGTACCAACCCCTTTACCAAGGTAGAAATAGTAGCAGGTGTTGGGGCGGCAGGTCGCCTGAGGAGCAGGCTCTGTAGCTGCAACATGCAGCAGGACAGCAGCGGCTCGACGGCAGCACCTGCAGGCCCCAGCAGTAGGTAGCAGAAGCAAAGGCAGCAAAAGGCAGGTGGTAGCAGGGGCGGCAGCTGGAGGTGCCACGGCAGCAGCGGGCGACAGCAGCAGATGACCGGCTGACTTCCGTCGCCCCCTCACTCCCCCCCCCACAGCGGCACGTGCGGCAGTGAGAGAGAGAGGAGGGGCGGCAGCTTCTTGCTCACACCCGCCACCCCAAAACCTCCCCCCCACACTGCTGCACGCGCAGCAAGGAGAGAGAAGGGACGGCGTGTGGCGGCGTAGCGGTGTGGCGCAGCAGCGAACAGAGTGGCGTCAACCAACCTCGCGCCTCCCCCTCCCCCCCCCCCCCCACACCTTCGTCCACAGCGGAAGACACGGCAGCGGGCGTGGTTGGCGTTGGCGAGATCGCGAGTAGGGGGGGGGAGTAACGGGGGGGTGCAACAGGTGCCGCGACGAGCGCCTTAGTACAGCTCGCCGTCGCTTGCGTGGTAGCTGCAGTGGTAGCAGCCGCATGTTCGACGGGAGGGCGGGGGAGGGGGCGCGTTTGGCGACTGAAGCAGCTCGGCCGCCACACCCGCCATCTCCCCCCAAAGCGACCGTCGATGCAGACGATCGGGGCCGCGACAGGGCGTGACGAGGTTGCAGGAGGGCGTGACGGGCAGGCGACGCGGCCGCCGACTGGGGCCGCGACGAACAGCACTAAGCTCGCCACGCTCGACTTCGCAACCTTCACGACGAGCGGCTGAACGGGCACAGCTGGGGCCGCGACGAGCGCCATGGCAGGAGCGATATGCGGTGGGCCCATGGAAAAAAAAAAAAAAATCAGGTCCTAGGATAGGAACCACTCTGATAACATGTGTAAGTTTTCAAGTAGCAAGGCTTAGGAGCCATGGCGAGTTAGGTGGAAGCGGTTGAGTTCGAGTGAGTTTAGGTGAGTAGGAAGATTGCAACAAAAGAGGGTGTTCACTATAGAGCGAGCAGTACAAATAGGCAAGAATGAAGAAAGGTGCACCACCAAACAGAAAGTTATATGACTACAGTAGTCTACACTACACGCACTTACAAAACAATATATAGAATTATATATTATTCTGACACCTGCGGCCCCTCGCGGCCCCTTTGCGGCCCCTCGCGGCCCCTTCACGGCCTCCTCGCCGCCCTTCGCGGCCCCTGCGCGGCCCCTTCTCGGCCCCGCCGCAGTCCTTCGCGGCCCCTTCACCGCCCTTCGTGGCCCCTTCGCCGCCCTTAGCGGCCCCTTCTCCGCTCCTCCGCGGCCCCTTCTCGGCTCCCTCACGGCCCTGCCGCCCAGCCGTTGTCGCCCCAGCAGCAACAGCCGTCGCGCCACCACTGCCAAGGCCGCCGCCGCCGCCACTACTTACAGCAGGAGCCGCCGCCGCCGATGCAGTGCGAGTCGCAGCAGCCGCCGGTGCCGGTGCCGTGACAGCCGCCGCCCTTCGCGGCCCCTTTGCGGCCCCTCGCGGCCCCTTCACGGCCTCCTCGCCGCCCTTCGCGGCCCCTGCGCGGCCCCTTCTCGGCCCCGCCGCAGTCCTTCGCGGCCCCTTCACCGCCCTTCGTGGCCCCTTCGCCGCCCTTAGCGGCCCCTTCTCCGCTCCTCCGCGGCCCCTTCTCGGCTCCCTCACGGCCCTGCCGCCCAGCCGTTGTCGCCCCAGCAGCAACAGCCGTCGCGCCACCACTGCCAAGGCCGCCGCCGCCGCCACTACTTACAGCAGGAGCCGCCGCCGCCGATGCAGTGCGAGTCGCAGCAGCCGCCGCTGCCGGTGCCGTGACAGCCGCCGCTGCCGCTGCCGCAGCCGCAGCCGCCGCCGCTACCGCCAATAGCCGCCGCTGCCGTAACGGCCGCCGTCGCCGCTACTGGGGCCGCAGCCGCCGCCGCCGCCGCCAACAGCAGGAGCCGCTGCAGCTGTCGCGGCCCTGTCCCTACAGGCGCGCCTCGGCCCTGCCCCTCCACTTGCGGCACTCTACCCTCCCGCCCTAGTAAGAGCACCGCCGAGCCATGCCCCTACGACTGTGCTGCGTCTCACCTGCTGCTACTGCCCCTAGCCTGCTGCTACTGCTGTCATGGCTACCCCTAACGTTCTCGTCTTTGATACTGAGGGTCGGGCAGTTGACTTTGAGGTCTGGGTCGATGATCTACAGCTTTTCCTACGGTGCGATAGGAAAGATGGTCTCTCACTGTTCGATCTCACGTCTGGCGCCTCTACTGCCCCTGCTGCCGATGCTGACAGCACTGTTCGCTCATAGTGGGCCACACGCGATGCTGCTGCCCGTCTTGCTGAGCCGTCCTCTGAGCGCGCGCACTTTAGTCAGTACAAGAGTGTTAAGACCTTGTACGACGCTGTAGTCCCACGCTACTCTTCCCCTGCCACTGTTGCCCTTAGCCGCCTCATGCTGCCGTACCTGTTCCTTGACCTCGCCGCCTTTCCCACAGTCGCTGACCTCATTACGCACCTTCCCACTACCGACACCCGCTACCACGGTGCACTTCCTGCTGAGTTCTGCGCCAAGAACCCCCCCCCCCCCCCCCCATCTACATCACCCTCTACTACATAGTCACCCGGATCCCTGACTCCCTTCGCTCGATCATGGACCACTTCCTCTCTGTTTGCCCCACCACACTCACCGTTGACCTCCTCGAGGAGCGCCTCCTGGCAGCTAAGAAGAGTATAGTTGCTGTAGGAGCCTCTCGAGGTGACCCTCGTGCCCCCTTCTTTGAGGGGTGCTCCCCCTCCCCCCTTTTGCCCTCTGTTGCCTTTGGTGCTGTCGTCGACTTCGTTGGCACCGAGTCGGTTGGCGCTCCGTCTGCCCCTAGCGGGAGACGCCGCACCGGCAAGGGCAAGGGGGGCAAGGGCGTTGGAGGGGCTGGCGGGGGCGGTGAAGGTGGCGGCGGAGGCGGCGGCGGGAGTGGGGGTGGCGGTGGGAGTGGTGGCGGGGGTGGGGGCTTCGGTGGCAGCGGTGGAGGCGGAGGTGGCGGCGGAGGTGGCGGTGGGAGCGGAGGAGGAGGCTGTGGCGGTGGTGGAGGTGGAGCTGGTCGGGGTGGCTCTGCGCAGTGGGGCGGCTTCGGTGGCGGTCAGCGCCAGCAGCAGCAGCGCACTCGAGAGACCCCGCCCCCCCTGCAGCTTCGTGAGTGGTACGCTGCGCGTCAGCGATGTGGGGGTGCTGGTCCTTGTGCCTACGTCCTGTGTACCGGCGACCGCACTGGTGAGCAATGCGGTGGCCCGCACACCACCCAGCGTTGCTTCGGCCGCCTGACGGACGCTTGGCGTCTCCAGTTCCTTGACGCCACTAAGATCCCCCACTGGCGCGAGCTGCTTAGGTTGGGGGTTGCTGTCTTTGATCTGGATTATGATGCTATTCTTGCTGCCATGTATGTTGTGTCTATTAGTGATGAGGGTGACTGTTACCTGTGTGTTCTGCCTGACCCGGGCATTGAGGCTTCTGCTCTAGGTGCTGGTGAGGCTGCTGCTCTAGGTGCTAGTGCGTTTGCTGCCCCTGGTGCTGGTGAGTCTGCTCTCTCAGGTACCACGTCGGCTCAGGCCTTACACACCTTCACCCTTGACTCGGGTGCTTCCCGCTCCTTCTTTCCAGACCGCACCACGCTTACGCCGCTTAGTCGGCCGGTTGCGGTCTCCCTGGCGGACCCCTCTGGGGGTCCCGTCCATGCCCACTTCTCCACTGTCTTACCGTGTCCGGCGGCCCCCTCTGGCACCCTGTCAGGTCTCTACCTCCCCTCGTTCTCTACGAAATTGGTGAGTGGTGCTGATCTATAGATAGGGGGGGTTGACCAGTTCACTCCTGCGAGTCAGCGAGTGACCCACTGTACGTGTGCTCGGACGGGCCGACACTTGGCCACGATTACCCGTCAGCCGGGGTCCAGCCTGTACACACTGACTTGTCAAACATTATCTATATGTTGTGTTAGTTTAGGCTACAGTGGGTTAGCCTATAGGGGGTACACAATTCTAGGGTTAGGTACTTGTACTGTTTTTACTGCTAGTTCATCTATTCCTATTCAGTTATTCTAACATGGTATAGAGCAGGTCCTTCATAGGACCGAAATTTTCTAAGGGCCCACCACTACGTACCTAACTACTACCTACCTACCTATGGCCTAGGGCGCCTCGGCGCGTCCCGCCCCTAGAGGCCCCTCCTGACAGGCCCGCGCTAGCCTCGTTTCACGCCCCGTCGGCCCCGTTTCAGGCCCCGTCGGCCACGAGCTAGCCCTATTCAGGCCCTGATCGGCCCCACGCTAGCCCCGTTCAGGCCCCGTCGGCCCCGCACTAGCCCCTCTCAAGCCCCGTCGGCCCGCGCTAGCCCCGTATCAGGCCCCGTTGGCCCCGTTTCAGGCCCCGTCGGCCCCACTGCTAGCCCCGTCACGGCCCCGTTTGGCCCCGTTTGCCTACCACGCTCAGGCCCAGTCGGCCCCGCTCCAGCCCCGCTCAGGCCCAGTCGGCCCCGCGCCAGCCCCGCTCAGGCCCCGATCGGCCCCGTGCTCGCACCTCTAAGGCCCCAACCGGCCCCACGCCGACCTCGCCGACCCGTGCCCACCACCTGGAGGCCCCGGGCGGCCCGTTCCCGCCGTGACCCGAGCCGCGCGACCCGAGCCGGGCGCCCCGAACCGAGCCGCGCGCCCCGAGCCGAGCCGCGCGCCCTGAGCCGAGCCGCGCCACCCCGCCGAGCCGCGCCCCGACCTGTACTGAGCCGCGCCGCCCGGCCCTACCTGGTTCGTCCTACCTGCTTCTCCTACTGCTGCTATTTCTACTGTTCCTATGGCTAGCCCACAGGTTCTCGTGTTCGATGCTGAGGGCCGCCCTGTGAAGTTTGACACCTGGCTCGATGACCTGCACCTCTACCTACAGCTCACAGCCAAGGATGACATTTCATTGTACGATCACGCCCTAGGTCATGTCACTACCCCTGCTGCTACTGCTGACAGCACTGCTCGCTCACAGTGGCAGACTCGTGATGCCCACGCTCGCTTCGCTATTCGCAACTCCCTGCCGATAGACGAACGCGAGCACTTTGGCCAGCACAAGACTGCACAGGCACTGTACACGGTTGTAGTTGCTCGCTACTCCTCACCTGCCTCTGCCGCGCTAGGCCGTCTCTCCCTCCCCTACCTGTTTCCCGACCTGTCCTCCTTTCACACAGTCGCTGACCTCATCACGCACCTCCGCACTAGTGAGGCCCGCTTCCGTACCGCCATGCCTGCTGAGTTCCTTGCTACGCACACCCCTCCACTCTGGCTCACTCTCTACCACCTAGTCACCCGCCTCCCTGACACACTGCGTGCTGTCAGGGACCACTTCCTAGCTCGTTGCCCCACTAAACTCACCATTGCCCTGCTCGAGAAGGAGCTACTTGCAGCTGAGACTAGCATAGTCGCTGTAGGTGCCTCTCGTGGCGACCCCCGTACCCCGTTCTTTGAGGGGTGTTCTCCTTCCCCCCTTCTTCCCTCTATCGCCTCTGCTGCTGCTGTCGACCTTCTCGGTGCTGAGAAGGTCGGCGCTGCGTCTGCCTCGATTGGACGCCGCAGCGGCAAGGGCAAAGGGGGCAAGGGTGGTGGCGGTGACGGCGGGGGAGGCGGCGGTGGGGGCGGTGGAGGCAGTGGGGGTGGTGGCTCGGCTGGAGGGGCGAGTGGTAGCGGTGGGGGTGGTGGCGGCAGCGGCGGGGGCGGTGGCAGGAGTGGAGGCGGCGGTTGGGGTGGCGGTGGACGAGGCGGCGGCAGGGGTTGGGGTGGTCGAGGAGGTGGCAGCGGTGGTGGTGGCCGTGGAGGCGCTAGCGGTAGCCAGGGCCAGCAGCACACTCCTTCGCCCCAGAAGGTCCGTGAGTGGTACTCTCAGCACGGGGGTGGGGGTGGTCTTAGCTGCACGTACGTCATTCACACTGGTGACGGCACTGGTCAGCAGTGTGGACGACCGCACGCCACACAGCGCTGTTTTGCTCGGCTCGACGACGCTTGGCGTGTTCAGTTCCCTCAGGCCACTGAGCTACCCCGCAGGCTTGATCTCCTGAAGAAGGGGATTGATATCTATGCTTTAGACTTTGATGCTATTCTATCTGCCCTGTATGTGATGTCTACTAGTGGAGAGGGTGCTGAGTACTTGTGTGTGCCGCCCGACCCGGGCATTAGGGCCAGTGCGTCTGCCGCTTTAGGTACTCGCGTGTCGGCTACCCCAGGTGCTGATGAGGCTGCTGCTTTAGGTGCTCGTGTGTCTCCCCCCCTTGGTACTGCGTCGACTGCCGCACTGCACACCTTCACACTGGACTCAGGTGCTTCTCGCTGCTTCTTTCGTGACCGCACTGCCCTTGAGCCACTTGCTCGGCCAGTTGCTTTCTCCCTTGCTGACCCCTCTGGGGGTCCGGTCATTGCGACCTCGTCCACTGTCCTTCCCTGCCCTGCGGTCTCGTCGGGCACACTGTCAGGTCTCTACCTCCCCTCGTTCTCTACGAACTTGGTGGCAGGGTGTGCGCTTCAGGACGGGGGTGTTCACCAGTTCACCCCTGCCTACGAGCGCGTGACACACTGCATGTGTGCTCGTATGGGCCGTCACTTGGCTACCTTCACTCGGCAGCCGGGGTCGGACCTGTACACACTGACCACTGAGTCCCCTCAGGTTGCTGCGTCTGCGTCTGCGTCCGCGTCAGGTCAGCTGTCCGCCCCCTGCTCGTGTCGCTCTTTGGCACACGAGACTGTCCTCTGGCACCACCGCCTTGGCCACCCATCTGTGCAGCGGCTTCGTGCCATGCACTCCCGGTACCTTGTCTCTGGCCTGCCCAGAGTCCTTCCTCCCCTCCCACCCTCACCTGCTCCTACCTGTCTCCCCTGTGTTGAGGGATGGCAGCGCGCCGCTCCTCACTCCTCCTCGTTTCCCCCGACGACTGCTCCCTTGCAGACGCTCCACATGGACGTGTGGGGCCCAGCCCGCGTCCGTGGTCAGGGTTAGGAGAGGTACTTCCTGATAGTTGTTGACGACTACTCGCGCTACACCTCGGTCTTCCCCTTGCGCACCAAGGGTGAGGTCCCTGATGTCTTGATCCCTTGGATCCGCAGAGCCCGTCTCCAGCTCAGCGAGCGTTTTCACTCGGACTTTCCTGTCCTTTGCTTGCACTCTGACAGAGGTGGTGAGTTCTCCTCCGACCTCTTGGCAGCCTACTGTGCTGAGCACGGCATTGAGCAGTCGTTGAGCTGCTGCTGGTCCTGCTGTGCTGAGCACGGCATTGAGCCCTGTTGGGGGTGCTGAGCCTGGGGGTGCTGAGCCTAGGGGTGGTGGGCCTGGGGGTGCTGAGCCTGGGGGTGCTGAGCCTGGGGGTCTGGAGCATGGGGGTGCTGAGCTTGTGGGTGTGGAGCCTCGTGGTGCTGAGCCGTAGAGTCCGGAGTCTGGGGGCTCTGAGTCTGGAGGTACTGCGAGTGGGAGTCCTTCACCTGGAGGAGTCCTCTCCTCGGAGCAGCTGCGTACGTGGTACTTAGAGTACTGCACCCTCCGGAGGGGTTCTGCTCGTGCCGGACGTACTGCTGGGACTGGTACTAGTGCTTCTTCTCCCGTTCGGGAGCTCCCCTCCTGCGAGCGGATCCGTGAGTGGTACGAGCGGCGCTGCACTCTTCGGAGTGGCGTGCCTCGTGTTGCGGACCCCGCTGCTGTTGGTGCTGAGGACCCGGGCGTTGGAGCTGCCGCTGGTGCTGAGGACCTGGTCGTTGGAGCTGCTGCTGGTGCTGAGGACCCGGGCGTTGTAGCTGCCGCTGGTGCTGAAGACCCGGGCGTTGGAGCTGCCGGTGGTGCTGAGGACCCGGGCGTTGGAGCTGCTGCTGGTGCTGCGTACTCGGGCGTTGGAGCTACCGCTGGTACTACAGACCCGGGCGTTGGAGCTGCAGCTGGTGCTGCGGACCCGGGAATCGGAGCTACTGCTAGTGCTGAGGACCCTAGTGCGGGTGTCCCTGCTGGCTCTGCTGTCGCTGCACGGTCTCGGCCGTACTTTGTTCCGCTCCTTCAGCAGGTTCTTGGTCAGCTTCCTCCTCCTTGTCCTCCTCCCTCCTTAGCGTGTCCTCCGTCTGTCCAGTTGCAGTCGCCTTTACCGTCTGCCTCCTCTCTCCCTAGTCCTGCTCCTTACACTGGTCCGACTGGAGGTCTTACTGAGCGTCGTGAGCCCGAGTCTCGTCCTGCGTCGCCTGAGCCTCGTCCTGAGTCGCCTGTCCGCACTGCTCTCTCTAGTAGTCGTGTCCAGCGTCAGCGTCCTCCTGCTGTCCCAGGCACTCACAGGATGGCGCTTCGTCCGTCCACTGCTCCACAGCGAGTCCCACTGCCGTCTCCTCCTGCGTCCTCTCTTCCTGCTCTTGATGACCCTGAGGCAGACTCTCTTCGTGCTGCCAGTCCTACTGTCACGCGTCTCCTGGCTACTGTTGTCACTGACCCTTCCTTTGAGTCTGTTGCTGCGTCTGCCTTAGTTGCTGGGCTTGTCGACTTTGCTGCTCGCTGTCGTCTAGACTACGCTGCTAGCCTAGTTGCTGAGTCTGAGTCTGTCTGTCCTCCGTTCGTCAGGGGTGAGTGTGCTCTTGGCACTGACGTCCCTGAGGACAGGCAGGAGGAGTTTGAGTGCTTTGCTGCCGCTTTGCCCCATCTCGTGTCCATGCTTGTTGCCCCTGAGGGAGACCCGGATGCACCAGACATCCCGACCCCACGCTCTTACGCAGAGGCGATGGCCGGTCCCTACTCCTCTCAGTGGCAGTCAGCCATGGACACAGAGATGGCTTCCTGGAAGTGCACAGGCACCT